CGATCTCCGCAGAGGGTTGCGCGCACAGCCGGCAAATCGCACTCTCGCCTGCATTTCGCGCACTCGACACGCACGATCTCCGCAGAGGGTTGCACTTTCGGTTGACGCTGTTCGTCCCGCCCTCCGCCTTGAAAAGAGAGTGGGGAAATGTTTTTTCATTAGGACATCTCCCGTGCTAGTTTTCCATACTCACACTTGCCTACTCATTGCATGCTTGTTGCATGCTTGCATAGTCATTGCATGCTTGCATACTCACGCTTGCATATCATGCTTGCATACTTATACACTTGCATACTTTGACACTGGCATACTTCGCACTTGGATGCTTTCGCTCTTCCAGTGTGTGTGTGTGTGTGTGTCAGTGTGAGTGTCGAAGTGTAAGTGTCGAAGTGTCAGTGTTCAAAGGATTTTCCGGAAGAACCCTTCGCAATGCTTTCGGGAAAAATCATATATACAGTGGTTTTTATGGTTTTTTAGTACGACCTTTGTTGTGAATATATCGACGGAGACAATTTCACGCACAGGAAAAAGTGGGCCTGTTTTGTGTTTCCTTTTGCTTCTTCCTACTTAACCCCTGTTTGGTTCAACCGCTTGCTTCGCACTGCGCTTTCGTACTTGTCTTGTTTTCGCATCATCCCTACGGGACCTCTCTCAGAGACCGTGTTCTTTCCGAAGGAACTCCACTGCTTGCACTTCCGTGTCACCCCCAACCCCGTCAAAACCTCCCCTCAAAACCAACCATCTTCCAACGCGAGTGTGCATGTAACTTCGTCTTACATGCGTTGGCAATCGAACATCATTAGCCCCCCGCCCTCCCCCACCCCACCCACATCTATATATCGTTGACAATGCTGTGCAATCGATGATACTGCTGCGAAATCGATCACTATCTTCTGAAACTGATGCTGACAAAAAGCGTGGGACAAATTATATATACAAAGCAACCTTTGCGGAGTTAACACTCTCCCTAGTGCCCCACCACACGGAGCGTTCAAAAATCACAACTTTTTCTTGCGTCGCTAGTGATCCCATGAGCTTAAAGTAGGAAATATCCAGAAGGCACCAGCAGCAACAGGGCAATCGAAAACACCAGCACACTTGAAGAAAACAATGTTGCTGTTTTTTTGTGTGTGTTTTCTGGGTGCCTTTGCAGCTGTGTCGTTGGCACACTCTTCACACACGTCTCCTTGCTGGCAAATCTGCCAGTTCTGTAGAGTTCACGCTCGAAAAGAGAAAGCAATGGGCAGGAGTGAGTTTAGACTCTAGACAACTGTTTTTCAATATTGCTTTGGGTGTTCTTGTTTCCCTGAGCAACAGCAACAACAACAACAACAACAGCGTAACCAGACATCGATTGTGTAATGCGTCTCCGAAACAGTCAACATGTAAGCTTGCTGAGTAAGAAGGGTCAACCAGAGAATGTTTCATGAACACCTCAGCAAATCACAACTCAACTAACACGTGTTGAGACTGTTGCTTGCAAAATAGGAGTTGATTAGGTGGCTTGTCTACCTTGTAAGAGTGCTACACCAGCATCAACAAGTGCAAAACCCCAAGACAAACACGCGCTTGCACAAAGTTTTGCACATGTCCCTGCCTTTGCATCAGGTCGTTGGAAGCACAAAGTTCAGTACCGAACCACGGAGAACAATGGAATGCATGTTTCAGCGTGGCGCATCTGGACCTGGTTCTGGAAAGAGACTTGGCCCAAAAATGCATCTAAGAGTGCAGCGTCGTTTTGGTATTAACGTGTCAAAAGGTGTGCCAGCAGAATTGTTCTGAGGTACCGCCCACCCCAACGTTCAACTTCGAGGCTGGACTAGTTGCTGAAGAAGAATACATAAAAATACAAGTTCACATGGTTTCGATTGTGGCTGCATTGACATCAGGGGTGGCAGTTTCCCACGTGCACCACGTTGGGGTTCTAGATCTGGCAGTGCACCATTGGGCCCGCTTCTTGAGTTCGATCTTGGTTCGGAACAAGGTCCACTTGGACCATTACAAACTAAGGCATGCCTCGCCTTCCGGGGGGTGTGTCACCAGGCCCATGCAGTTACAAGCCAAATCATGCAGCTCTGAGCACCCTATGCTAGCTCTTGCCTGGCTTTGCGTTTGGTGCTGGTGGTCCAGCTTTGGCCTGTGCGTCTACTGGAATCTAATGATGCACGGTGCATGTAGAATAGCACTTGCGGTGCCAACAGCTACCCATGCTGTTTCAGCACAAGTGATTCAGACAAAGCAGTGTGTGCAAAATCAAAGTTGTGGGTTTTGCTTTTTAAGCATTGCATGGTTTTCCACAGCTACAATTACAATATTTTTGATGGTTCACATGCGATTATTCAGCGCTCAAGAAGGACATGGTATAGCCATGGCGAATCGAGGACTAGCAGGACCCTTACCCTTGCAGCGCGGCCGCCACAAGGTCAGCAACGCTCAGGTTTCAAGCTTGCAAAGTGGACCGTCCACTCCAACAAGCTGCTTGCCCGCTTTGGAGGGTTCTTACCGTCCGCAGTGAGCCTGGCAGGTTCCACAGCGCCAATCAAACAGGAGAAACGCGAAACGAGACGGCACAGAATCTCAAGTTCAGTTCAGGTAGACGTATTATGCTGAAAGAACTGAGGCAGCCTTCGCGCCACCACGATTCGCTCGGGCTCACCGCAGTCCCCAGCCTCGTCCGCTTCAAGGGAAGATGGCGCTGAAGTTTGTCACTGTGATGGCGTGGAAGCAAAGACCCCAAAAGTTCTATGGGCATCCACTCCAACACCCAAAGCATCGTCTTACAGCTTTGCTTTACCAGAGACTACAGGGAAGCTCAACGCCGAAGCCACCACATTCGTGCCTTCCGAGGAGAAGATTTTGCCCGGGCACACATATTATCGGTCTGAGATTTCAGAAGTTTCTGAGTTCCATGCTGAAGCTCAAGCTGTGATGATGGCCGAGTCGGTTTTGGGGCTAGATTGTGAGCCAAAGGAAGGACCCGTGGGACCATTCGCACAGGACGTGGCAATCAAGGAACCCAGAGTGGAGACAAAAGAACAATTGAAGCCCCGAGCAAGTGCTCCACCGAATTTGCTTTCCAAGGGGTCTGCATATCACCAGCAGGGCCAGTGTCGTCCATGTGCATGGATGTGGAAGGCGGGGGGATGCCAGAATGCCGACACTTGCGAGTATTGCCATCTTTGTCCAGAAGGCGAACTGAAGCATCGGAAGAAGCTGAAGATTGCAGCAATTCGGATGGGTGCCTTGGGGCCATCCGACAAGGCTGGCACATCGCGCCGAGGCTTAAAGCTATCAAGCTTGCTTTAATCTTTGAGACAATTTAAGGAGAAAAGCATGCAAGTCTGGCATTTGTTTGTTATGATACATCCGACTATTTCATACCAGCCAGCTCTCTTCATATTCAAGATGCTGTAAAGTTACTGTAAAGTGCTGCTTGTGGCCCGACAATATTAGCGTGCTAGTGAACATCGCTGTGCAAAATGCTCAGTTTAGCACAGTTGGCACAGATCTAGACGCCCTACGCAGAAGTCGTGGCAAAAAAGAGCTTGCATTTTGTTGCGCTTTTTCTTGCAACGCCCCTGATCAAGCTGTTTGTCATGGCTTGCCCTGCTTTGTTCACAAGATGTAGATGCAGCATAAGCATCAGTGAGTTGCATGTTTGCATAGCATGCAGCATGCCTTTTTGCCAGGAAAGTTCAGTTGCAAGTCTTCCCTACACATCATTGGCTTGAACATATACTAGCTGGCTGTGTTTGCAGCTAGGCTGTCAATACAGAATCAGCAAAGCTGCTCTGCTGTGCTTTCCGTGGCTCACATTGTGCGTTCCGCCCAAATTGAGTCCGTTGAGGTCAGCCTGGGGTCAGTACAGTAGCAATGTATTTTCTGTGGGCAACAGCACTCAACATCCCTGGAAATCGCAGAGAGAGATTGCAAGATTTGACTTCCGCGCCCTTTGCTTGCGATTCCGCCATAGTTGCTCCGCCCGTGGGGTCCCAGGGGCCGCAAGTGCCTCTTAACGAAACAGGTTGCTGAAGTTCAAGCAAAGGTTTTTGTGCGTGGTAACATAGGTTACACGTGTGTCCTTGGCCCAAGGCGGTCGCCTCAGGAAACAGCAGAGGACACAGGACGTCCTAGATTTTGACCCACACTTCGGAATTAGTTCGTGCTGGCGGTTGAGCGGGACAAGGCATTATGAACTCTGAGAAAAAGCGTCGAAGAAGAATCCTTGAATTGCATCCACTGACAAAACAGTGTTTGAATTAGAATATATATATATATAAGTTATATAAGTACAGTTTGGAGTTTTTGAATGTCCTCATAATTCTAGGGGCTTGGTCTAGATATCTACATTGCGGAAACCAACTGCTCAATGATTCTGGAGCCCCCCTATTTGAGGAGTGTCCTTCTTGGAGCAACGAATCGGATCTATCAACGAAACGTACAAAACCTAAACCATCAAAAAACGACTGTTACGAGTTGAATTTGTTGTTGCTCTTGTTGAGTTTGTTGTTTATGTGTGGTACTTTAGCCTCCGGTTTGTTCCGCCAGCTTTATGATGGGGGGTGTTGTGAGTGGGGGGAATAACTCCGGAAGAAATTGCTATAATTGCGGCGCCTCGAAAAGAACCTTTATAAAACCATTGCATCATGAATTAGAATGGCGGTTTGGTAGCGTTGACAAACTTATCATGAATCGGCTGTTGGCATGCTGATACCTTGCACTGATGCCCAACCGGCGGTGTTTTTTGTTCTCCTCTTTGAAGGTTTATCCAATATCCTTTCTAAAGGTCCGGCGGCGTTTTCTTTCTCCTCCCTGTAGGTTTTTCCTATATCCTTTCTAAAGGTCCGCGCTGTTTTCTGTCTCCTCTCTGAAGGTTTTTTCCTATATCCTTTCTAAAGGTCCGGCGGTGAATTCTTTCTCCTCTTTGAAGGTTTATCCTATATCCTTTCTAAAGGTCGGGTGGCATTTTCTGTCTCCTCCCTGTAGGTTTTTTCCTATATCCTTTCTAAAGGTCCGGTGGTTTATTCTTTCTCCTCGCTGAAGTCTTCTTTTCCTGGGCACGGTAGTTTATGATAATAACACTTGCGAGTCCTAATCATGTTGGCAATGGCACTTGCTTGGAAAACCATGATCTTCAGAATTAATGCACCAGGAGTGTTGCCAGTGACGCCAGTGGAATAGAATCTGTTTTGCTTAGCTTTGTCCTTGGAAACCGTGTCCAGATGGCAAATTGCAAAGCGCTGTGCATCAAATGCAGTATCTTGTGAGGTGCAACAGTTTGAATGGATTGAAGAGGAAAGCTGAACAAAAAACGTGTTGGAAGAGATGGTGCAGCGGTTTTGTGAATGCCGTGGTTCCACGCATTTCTTAGTCTCGAATATCGGCCAAGTTGTGCCCTCGTCAAAGCACGGGACTCTCAATCCCATGCTGAAATTGTCTCATTGATCGAAACCTGTCATCTCTGCGATCGAAATACTTTTTGAAGCGTCCTGACATGTGACAAAGGTAGAGTTTCGTGGTAGCAGTTTGTGTTCATGGGCAGAGGCAATCAAGGTTGCATCTTTTGCGCAAAGATATGAAAACAACAACTCCAGACTGTGTTGGAAGCTACCATATCTTCCGGACCGTATCCGAATAGGGGCCAATGGTGAAAGGATAGTTTTATGAATGACCAGAGTTTCAGCATGAGCAGTTTGGAGCGAGGGCGAAAAGTGCGGCAAGAAGCCGGCGCGATCGGCTGTGCGTAGCAGATTGTTTTTCCTTGCTGCATTTGTCATTGTCCTTTGCAGTCTCCTTCCGAGCTGATGATAATGAGGAACCACCTCCACCAGACATAGTATTTACTTGTATTATACAAGTCTTATATTTTTATAAATTATGTTTTCTTGCAAAACAATTGATTACACTATATAAATGAATCACATAATATACTAATATATTCATTAATCGTTTCTTTAAATATATATATTGCTTCTTCATAATGAAAACATTAAACGGATTAAATATATCTGAATCTAAAAAAATTAATGAAATTACAAAAAAAAATATGGAAAACATATAATATATATGATGATATAGTATGCTTTTTTGAATTAATTTTAATAGGTAGATTTTTCATTGGTTTGATTATAAGTGGAAATGTGAGGGGAATTTTGATGATATTGATATTTTTGACCTAGGGTAAATTTAAAGTTGCGATACTTGGTGATTGGGTATTTAATAGAAATCGTATTTGTTCCGATAGGATTCGAGTAGTTAAATTGTAATGTAGAATTTATTTTATATTATAGGCTGTTATAGGGCTGATGATAAACGTGATAAAAAGGTAATAATATTAGGAGTGAAAATACTTACCAAAAAGATTAAATGAAGTACGTCCGATTTGCGGATATTTTAGAATTACTTGCGAATACGAGGTTGGTTGTTTTACTTTTGAATAACACTTATATCGTTATTGAATTTATAATACTTCGATCGAAGCACTAATTGATTAGTATATTAAGTTATTAAGACTTACGTCATTATTTTACGCTGATTGGCTTATGTTGATGTTTTTTTTCTATGGCGATTTTGTCGATTTCGTTTATATGATTTGTTTTGTTTAGGGCTTGATTTTTAGTTGTTGATAATTTTTTTTGTAATTGGTGATGAATGTTGTGTAAAGCTTTATTTGTGTTATTGGGGCAATTTTTGCATAGTTGTTTATATCTTTTTTGTGGGTTTAATTTGTAGATTGATGATGTGTTGACGTTTTCGTTGTTTTTTTATAGACTTATTGTTAGGAGGAATGCAAATTGATTTTATATAATTTATTCTTATTCTAAAAGCTCTGTTTTTTGTTATAGTTGAGATACTTTAGCTTATGATGGTCGTAATGCTATATGGACATTATTACTATCCTTCTTTATTGCCACGCAATTGTAACACCATCTTTGCTTGTATACCTTACGCATCGTTATAGGCCGTATTGGATGCGTAATCTTGGATATTAAAGCATGCTTACTAATTGTTGTATATGTCGTTGCATACACCGTTAATCTTATAAATATTGGTGTTTGCTTTCATAACTTTTGGCGTGTGTTGGTTGCCGCCAGACTGTTAATCCTAAAGTTTCTTCTCTAACGCTTTAAAAATGGAGTCCCGTTGTGGCTTTTCTGTGAAGAAAGCTTTACGTATATAGTTGAAGGGATTTATGAGTTTGCAATATGTCGTAGGGCTCGAAGAATTTTGAAATGAAGAAG